GTCGCTGGACTCCCACGTAGTTGACCACAGTTCGCGTCCCAGACCCGGTGGCTTAAAATTCACGCCAGGCGCATGTGCGTGCGTGCCTAAGATCCCAAGAGGAGAATGGAGGAGAAGGGATTGCGGCGTGACCATCCCCACTGGGGGGTGATTTCTTGCTTTCTGTCTCTCTGTCTCTCTCTCTCTGTCTAGCGAGCGCACATGCCCTATAGCGAAAACCTTTTGGAGTCCAGCGACATAGCCATTATGCTAACTGCTGGTTCCCAGTAAATAATCTTTTTTGAAAAATGTACACCCAGTTCTAGTGTTATCTGATAACTGGTAAGGCAGCTTCTAGAGGAGGGGCCATGGTTTGCCACTGGAACACATTGGGCAGGACAAGCCACCATCAGCTGGGCAGCTACAACAGCAAGAGTCAACGCTGCACGCCTCCCTCCACAAACTATGGGTTGTCAGGAAAGTCATGACGCATTTCTGCATAGAAAAATATGTCATGACTTTCCCGACGAACCACTATGGGGGATTCTTATAGAGAGGGGCAAGCGCACGCACCCTATAGCAAAAACCTCTCCAAAAAAAGAAAAAAAATTAAAAAGAAAGTGGCTAAGTGACTCTTCTAAGATTCCATAGCTAATTAGGTGACAATTCTAGGACAAGAACTCAAGGTTCCCCGACACCCCTTCTTATGTCCTGCCATACCTGAAATATTACAAGGTCTGCAGCTTCCAGCTTCTTTTGTTCAGCCACAATATCTGGGCTCAGACGGCCTTCTTTGTAAGCCAGAGTAGACTCCACGGGGTACTTGAAGTTCTCAGGGTCCTTCAGCTTACCTGCAGAGAGCAAAAAGGGAGGCTAAGGTCAGAGAGGCCAAGGCGAGGCCAAAGAACTGACTCAAGGTGGAGGGGGGGGGACTCCTAACCTGTGATGTCTTTTCGAGAAATGACAGGATTGAAGTTCATGGCATAGAGGTCCGACACGGCCACCTCCCATCCTTTCTTCCTCAAAGACTCCACAGCAGCCTCCTTCATGGCATAGTTGAAGGACGTCCTCTCTGAATGCGCCAGGACGATCAGAGCTTTTCTGACTATTCACACAAACGAGGCAGACAGAGAAACCGATCAGCAACCAGCAGCGCTTCAGCCACGGGGGCCAGGGGGCCAAGGTGCGTACAGAAAGAGGCGACACATCGAGTTACTGCAACCCACCCCCCTGCAGCCAGAAGTGTACTTTCTCCCTAAAACTACCAATGAAGAGGCCAGCTGGTAATGTAGTAATTTAAGCTGCTGGACTCCCATATGGCTGACCGTGGTTTGAGTCCAGGACCCAGTGGCTTGAAAATCACACCAGGTGTATATGTGTTTGTACCCAAAAATCCCAAGAGGAGAATGGAGAAAAAGGGATTGTGGTGTGGCTATCCCCCCCCACCCAGGGGGTGACTCCTCACTTTCCCTCTTTATTTCTGTCCCTTTGCAGCAAGCACACATTCCCTATGGCAAAAAAAAAAAAAGTACCAGTGAGTAGGGGCCAGAGGTGGTATGGAGGGTAAGGCGCTGGATTCCACATGGCCAACAGCAAGGTTCAATTAAGGCCTGGGCCAAGGGGCTTGAAAATTATGCCCAACATCTCAAGAGGACACTGGAGGAGAAGGGATTGTGGTCTGGCCATCTCCCCTGCAGGGTGATTTCTCACTTTCCCTCTCTGTCTCTCTCTGGTAAGTACACATGACTTTTGGCAAAAATTTTTTTTAAAAAAGGTATCAATGAATAAAGGAGGCATTTTGATTCAGTCTGAAAACAAAGGCTAGTTAATAAATGGTGTCAGCCTACTTAATTACACATCTGCATGAAAATAAAATAACCCCTAGAAAACTAATATCAGCGTTAGAAATCAGAATAGTGGTTATCCTATCAACAGGTAGTGGACTGGAAGGGCAGTAAAGAAGACTTTTGGGGTGCTGGTAGCATTCTATTTCTTGATCTAGATGCTGAATACAAAAATTTCCAGTTTGTGAAAATCCACTTAAAACTTGGTGCCAGCAGGTGGTGTGATGGTTAAGGGCACTAGATTCTCACATGGCTGACTATGGTTCGAGTCCCGGACCTGGCAGCTTGCTTTCTCACTTTCCCTTTCTCTTTCTCTGTCTCTATGTCCAATGACATCATTGCTAAGCCATCTGCTGGTCCCTAGAATACTTTTAAAGAAAGCCCAGAGAGAGCCAGCAAGTGGTATGGTGGTTATAGCACTGGGTCTCAAATGGCTGACTCTGCGATTTGAGTCCTAAACCCAGGAGCTTGAAAATCATGCCAGCCATGAGTGTCCAGTATCTCAGGAGGAAGAATGGAGAAGGGATTGCAGCATGGCCATCCCTGGGTGGATGATTTTTCACTTTCCCTCTGTCTCTTTCCAACAAGTACATACACCCTTAAGTACCAATGAATAGGGGCCAGCAGGTGGTAGCAAAACCTAAAAACAAACAAAACACTAGAGATTCAAAACCCATGATGGAAAAGCTTAACAGATGGGGCTGGCTGGTGGCATAGTGGTTAAGGGTACTGGATACCCACATGGCCGACCTTGGTTAGAGTCCCGGACCTGGTGGCTTGCTTTCTCACTTTCCCTCTCTCACTCTGTCCCTCTCGGGTCAAATTTAAATAGAAAGAATGAAAGTTAATTCTTTAAAAAAAAAAAAAAAAAAAAAAAAAAAAAAAAAACCCTTAACACAGAAATCCACATAAAAATTAAAATTTCCTAGGGGGCTGTCAGGTGGCATGGTGGTTAAAGCACTAGACTCCCACATGGCTGACCACAGTTCAAGTCCTGGACCTGGAGGCTTTCTCTCTCTTTTTCTGTCTGTCTCTGGCTAAAATGAGGAATTGTAATAATAAAGCTAAAGTAAATGAATAATTCTTTTAAAAAACAAGTAAAACTTCCCATGTAGCAAAAGGCACCATAAATAAAGTCAAAAGACCAACCAGAAGAAGAAATCTACAGCTCTTATCTCAAGGAGTTAAAATCCCAAACAAATAACTAGGCAAAGACAGATGTCATAGAAAAGTGGATCAAGGATATGGACAAGCTATTCACAGAGGAAGTGCAAATAGCAATAAACAAATGAAAACATGCTCTGCCTGGCTTGTCCAGAAAAGCAAGTTAAGATATTACGGGCCAGCACGTGATGTGGTGGTTAAGGGAGCTGGACTCCCACGTGGTCAACCACGGTTTGAGTTCCGGACCTGGTGGGTTGCTTTCTCACTTTCTCTCCCCCCGCCAAGTTGGGTCAAATTAAAATAAATAAATAAAGTTAAATAAAATAATTCTTGGGGGAAAATGAGATATTATTTACCAATGAGATCAGTCAATACATTTAAAATAATGATAAGGGCTCTATTAAGATGGTAGAAAAACTGGCACAGAACTGGTGGGAATATGAATTATCTCAGCCTTTAAAGAAAGTAATCAGATTCGGGCCGGCAGGTGGTGTGGTGGTTAAGAGCGCTGGAATCCCACATGGCTGACAGTAGTTTAAGTACCGGACCTGGCGGCTTGCTTTCTCACTTTCCCTCTCTCGCTCTGTCCCTCTCTGGTCAAATTAAAATAAATAAATAAATGAATAAAGTTAGATAGTTATTTTTTTAAAAAAGTAATATGTGCCCATTCTTTTCATTGGCAAAAATTAGATATAACCTGGTGGTTGTCTATGGGGAACGCTGGAATAAATTCTAGCCATGTCCATAGTATGTTGCTAAGAATGATGTAACTACACATAGTGATACAGAAAGACATCTAAGGGAACCAGCAGTTAGCGTAATGGCTATGTCGCTGGACTCCCACGTAGTCAAC